CTTCTCGCGGCCCAGCTGAAGCCGTGGACGGCGTCCAACGAGAGAGAGAGAGAGGGACGAGAGACGTTGAGCAGAGAGAAAGAGGGAACAAGGAAAAATAAAACACAGGAGACACAGACACCCCAGAGAGAGGAAACGGCACTGAGAAGATAGAAAGAAAAAGAATAGACACAGAGGGAGATGAGGAGACAAAAAAGAAAAAGACACTTGGATGTTGAGGTTTCAGAATTTGAGAGCGTCGTCTGTAGAGGAATTTGTGATTCAAAGGTTCACACCGCCCACCCCCACTTTCTCCTCATCTTTCACTTCCAGAATGTAAACCTCACAGTTTGATGCTGAAAATCGATGAGACAGCTTGTCTCTCTGTAACCAAACAGCCTTCGCAGTAATCAGGTCACATGTGTATATCCACGGAGCTGAGCGTTTAGTTCCTCTGGTAAGAGCCTGGGAAAGTGAAGGTAATGTTTGTCCATGACTCACGTTTTTTTTTACTCTTATGCCATCGCAGAGCAGCAGCGTTCGAAAGAAGCTGCAGCGTGGGCGTAATAAGTCATATCTGGCTGCTAATCAAGCTGGGGATTTGATTTCACAAAACATGTCTTGGAGTGAGTGATTATGTTTTAGATTATTAAAAAGAGAACCATGGATTAGTTTTGTTGCAGATTTATGATGTAGCAGCATATATGCTGCTAACCTTTTCGCTGCCTAAGCTAACTAGACATTTAGGCTTATTGTTTGCCAAAGTCTCGCCTCTCCTCATGTAAACATTTGCCCATTTTTTTTCATAAATAGCTTCTTGCATCACCGTTCTTCTTCCTCTGACTTCATTTCTTCACACCTCCCTGTCAGAGATGACGGCGCAGCTTCGTCGCACTTGCTTAGTATTTAAAAAAAAGAGAAAATATTAGATTTTTGAGTGTCTTTTTGCTGAAAATAGTTTGATTCCGATATCGGTCTTATTGTTAGTGATTTTCACTGCTTCCACTTCTGCCCAGGTTTATAGTTTGTATTAAACCAATTCCCTATTCAACACATGGAACAAAGATGAAGTAATCAGATTACATGGCAATAGACAGCGAGATTTACGATTGTCAAACTTAAACACAATACAGGCTTTATATTTTTTCTCATCTTTTGAACACGCAAATGCATACAGGACACACACACAGGCTATTTGCATACTGGCTGTGTCAGCAGACTGGAAACCATAGGTTATACATTATTGATGAGTCTAGACATTGATTGCAACTAATAAGTGCTATTGACAATAAGTGTGAAGAGTGGAGAAAAAGTGTTTATGTGTAGCTTTATGTAAGGCTGCAGTTTGGCAAAGGGCTGCAAAATGGCTTTTGAATATGTAACGACATTAGCAGCAATTTAGATTAGCAAGTGGCTCTAAGCTCTCTTTGGAAGCTTTGCACTTTGGTCGAAGGCGCAGGTTTGTTTATTATGTCCACAAACCAGTTTGGTGACTAGGGGTCGCACGTCTTCACGTTTTAAGTCAAGGTCAACAGGTCAAGTTGACTTCGAAGAGTCGCTGTGTCAGTGTTTTTTTTTTTTTTTATGAGTGCAAAACTGCCAGGTTATCGTGCACATATAACTTGCGGCACAATATTTCGGTAGCATTTGCCAGGGTTTGCAGTTCCCGTTTTGTAATTTACCCCACCCAGTTCCTCATTTTTAATCTTCTTGGAAAAATCCGTTTTGTCACGCAATTGCAACTCGTCTACATGAACTGTAAAAAGTCGGTGCAGAGCGAAATATCGACTAGTCTAAAAATTGAGAAGGTGATGCTGCCCTTATTGGTGCATCAAAACAAATCTGTAATATGTTGAAGTTATACATTAACAACACGCTTTAGAAAGAGGTGAGTGTTTCTGGTAGGAGCAATAAACATTTGTATGTGGAAGCACAACACACTGCTATACAGTAGATTTAAGCTATAAACTAAATGGTTGTTGTAGCAGGTGTTAAACTACACTGAACTATGACATGTATAAAAACACTTTGTGGATTTAAACCAACCCAGTTCTCTAAAGTCCAGGTAGCTGCCTTCCAGTAGTCTTTTGGAAATAACTTTGCTGCCTTCTAAGCAAGTAAAGTATTTCATCTGATTTGCACCGTTTAGCCCGACGCAGTGAACGGAGACATGAGAAAATCATAAATTAGTTTGTTTCAACCAGCCCAAATGTCGAAAAGAACAACATATTTACCAGCAGAGCCAGACAGCTGCGGAGAGTTGATGAATGGAAGATTTAAACAGGCTCAATCGCTTATCAAAACAGTTGTCAAAACAATGACTCTAGTTCATGTAAGTAGACTCGACACATCTAGTCTACAACGATCTTTTTTAAATGCAATGTGATACATCGGATCCTGTTTTACATCAGAACAACAAGATGCACTTTGGCTGCACTGAGGAAAACTAGCATATATTGTAAATCAGTTGAAGTAAATGTTTTGTTTTGTTTTTTTTTAAAAAAAGGTAGTCTTAAACATCTTCGTTTCAAGAGCGTTGTAATCTGTGAAAGTGTTAAAACAGCATAATGACACCACACCGACGAGCCTTAATCTCTTTCCTTTCTATCCCTGATAGATGATTATACTGGGGAGTATGTAGCTCACCGCTCTCTTAAAATCATATATGATTACACTATTATGTCCTGTTTCACCATGGCACTCTAAAGCCCTAGACCTCTAGGAAAACACTCTAAAGAGTCTCTAGCTGCTCTAAATACACGCGCAGGCTGGAGGTCTACTCTGACCTTTCGCTGCACAGCACCTCTCCTCTCCTCTGTCGGTCTCATCCCTCTCATTTAATCCATCGGCTCAGCTCCGCTGGGCAACGTCTCTGTCTGCTTCATTATACAATGCGTACAATTATATTGCTTGACTGCGATGTGCGAGCGCGCGTAGACACAGGCAGGAAGATTAGGTGAACTATCACACGCACAGAATTCACATACGCTCACATCTCCACAGCATGGCAGCCCACCCTGCTGTCATGGGGTGCTGGGTTGGGAGAAAAAAAAAAAAAAGGCTGTCTGATGAACAGCATGAAAACCAGAAGCAGAGAGGGACAGAAAGCGGGGGAAAAAAAAAAAAATAGTTACATACATCAGCAGTACAGGCACTTCTAATTCTCTAAGAGCACTTAGTCACATTCCCAAAAGTGTAATGCATTTAGATTATTGCTTCTCATAAAACGAAACATTTTCGTTTTAAATGTTTACTACCTTAAACTGCGCTAAATCTTTGGCTCACGAATTTGATCTGTGATCTGGGGGCTGAAGGTATTAACCTTAAGATTTTTAATAGAGAACATGCAACCTGGCAGAAAACGCGGTGCGTTTGACAGAGGAAAAAGCTGAAGGAAAAGACGCGGCGGTCTCTGCAGATGGATGCTGATTAAATATTGATGGTCAGAGGTGCCGATTAGGACCTGAGTGAGTCGGTCCTGAATAAATCCCCTCACCTAAACGGGTAAGAACTAGTCGCATGTCCTGGCCTTGAACTTTCCTCGACAATTTGTCTAGGTTTTCATTGCGCCTCCTGCGGGTCTTTGTGGTGCTTTGTTGATTCGTTTTTTTTTTAACCTTATTCACTGCTCATTCATTAGTCTCTTGAGCCTAGTTGCAGAGGATTTAACTAAAAAGTTTCTACGTGAGCTAAATTATTTACTTTGCTTTGAAAAACATTTTTGTACACTCAAGTATTTCAGAAAATCAATTTGAATAATAGGCCAAATTAATTTGGGTTAATACCAAATGCAGTGTTCACAGGAATATATCTTTATTTAAAAACTTTTTTTATTTGCCCTTGGTCTTGCTGCTTTTGAGTTTCATTTTTTTCTGTCTAAATTCAAGAAATATGAGGGGGGAAAAGGAGTACAAGGTAAGCTCAGGGCTTTATCAATACATAACACAACGGAAACTTGTGGTAGGAATAGAGTCTCCTTGCTGCAAGGGTGAATAGATGCAGCAGAAAACCTCACTTTTATACACAAAAATCATGTCAGATTTTACGTGTGAAGGTTTCACTTCTCACTGAAATGTCATTCCAGAGCCACCATATGGAATAATAAACTAGTTAAGCTGTAACAAGATCTACTTTGGCCCTAAAAGTCACGTCAAGTTAATGCCACACTTGTAGAAGTTAAGAGTGAAGCCGATGGACTGATTATCAAAAGGCAGTCATCTGCTCTCTCCTTCATTTGACTCGTTAAAAATGAAAGCAGTCACACCTGCTCCTAATTATCTCACCTGCAAGAAGAAGGATTTTTTGGAGTCAGTGAATGTTGATTTGATAGGACACTTGGCAGACATTATGTGCTGACAAAGGAAAAAGTAATAAATGTCTGTGACAAATTAATGCTTTTTTTTTAAAGTGCTAAACTTTATGCTCACAAACGACTGCTGGACTAATCTGGATGCTAGCTCCTGTGGAGTTGTCCTTCATAGGGTTGCTCCCCCTCTTGAAGCTACTAATTTGAGCATTTCATATCCATAGGGATCATCAGTACATGGTAGTAATTTTTTTTAGAAAAGCTCAACTCCAAAGACTTTCTCAGAAAATGCATTTTAAAATAATTAATGTGCTTTGAAAAATAATTGAAAGTCAATTTGTGACATTAATTTTTTGTTTACACTTTGAAGATTTGTATCCTTTCTGGCTCTAAGACATGACATTACCTTTTTAAGTGGAAAAACAGTGTTTTGTCTTTGTGATGCTTTCTCATAGACTATATTTGTTTCCCCTTACATCTTTATTTTGAAGTTAAAATTACAAACCCAAACTGATTGTGATGCCAGTGTTAAAACGCTCCAAAGCAACACATTACGCATTGTATGACTCATGAGGACATTTTTAAGAGCATTTATGTGGTTGTTTTTAGTTTAACATAACGTTTGAAAGAAACACAAAATATCTAGTTGTTTTTTTTCTTGGACATTAACAACTAATGTGTTTGCTTTTCCCCCCCCTCCCTTCTGTTGTTGCAGTTACTTTATTAGACTCCATGTCGGCACTGGCCGACCTCGGCTGGGAGGCTTACCCTAATGAAGGGGTGAGTATCTGCTCCACACGCGCGCACACACACACACATACACACAAACTATTTTTATGCTGGAGCTGCCACCAAAAGTATGACTGATTAAATCAAGCAGGTTGTTCTCTCCTTTTTGGGAAACAGGCATATGACGTTAGCAGTTCAACTGGGGAATATTTCAAAAAGCAAAGGGATCTTAGGCACCTGATGCTAAATTTGAGTGGTGGTGGGGGGGTTGGTTATGGATTATTTCTGCTGTGCTGAAAATACGTTCACGTTGAAGCGTCGACACCTGGCGGTGCTGTAACTTTTGGGATGAGTTGAAGGGACCACTGTAAGTGTGTCAATATTCTTACATAAGAAAAGATGTGTGTGTACAGATTCCTGGTGCTCAAGTGCAACATGCAGGGGGAAGAGTGGCAGGGTGGGGATTGTTGCATAACTGGCCTTTTTCAGGTACAGGAACCAGGGAAGCCTAGAGTGCAGTCACCATGACTCAGAAAATGACAAGAAGAGGAGAGGAAAAGAGTAAGAACGCAGCGGGGGAAAGAATAAGGGCACATTCGATGGCCCGAAATCTGTATGTCACTGTAGCTTGCTGAATGGCTCAGAATTAATTCTATTTCCTCTCATCCGTCGCTTCCCCATTCAGCATCGGTGTGTTAAATTGCAGGATGCCACATGCAGTTTCATGGTCTTGTGCGGCTGAGAAACGACTAAAGCGAGCGAAGCCAAGCAATGTTGTTTTCCCAAGCAATCAAGTGTGTAAAGTTCTCCTAAGTGGAGTACTCCATTTGTTGGGTCATGTTGTGGATGTTTGTGTGTGCATTCGTTCAGAGCGGTTCAGTTTAGTTTGGGATACGTGTTACATTCAGGTGAGCGTTGGACTGATGGCGTCTGAACAAATAACTCTGAAAAATGAACTAATTGACTTAATTCTGAGCAAGTTTTCAACATTAGGGTCAATTTCTTCTCTAGGAACGCAATTTTCAGTGAGGAACTGTTTTCCCTAAAACAGATTCTGAAGAGTACCATTTATGTTTAGGTTTCCCACTAACAAAAAAAAATAAATACTACAACACTAACAACTGAAGTGGTTGAGGCTTTTTCAGTGGCCTTTTGTCCGAGTTCTCTGAAAGAGTTTTTGACAAGCTGTTCATGCGCTTGACGCACAACGTTTCTTCCCTCAGGGTTACAGTTTTAATGAGTACTCACCTGACAGCATCTACCTAGCTACTTACATGGCAAGCTTGACTTTGATTAGAACTGCTGTGGTGTTTTACTTTATTAATATATTGTCACAAAGTATCTACTTTTTTTTACCTTCTCTTTAAGCATTTTTACATGATGGATTCTGATAAACCTAGTTTTTAAAGCTTTCTCCTGATTTCACAAAAATAAAGCTGCCATGAAAAGCAGGACCCAACTGCAGAGAGGATACATGTGTTTTTTTCATTTTTTTTTTTTTTTTACAAACACACGCAAAGGCCACAGGGATCAGGAGACACGATGGAGGCACCAAGATGAGCTGACCAGCTGAGGGATATTTAAACTGGAGAGTTGATTACTGGACAAGGAGCAGGTGGTTGATTAGAAACTGGGTGCAGCTGTGAGGGAAAGCGTGTAACTGAAGTTGAACCAAAGAAATCAAGAGAAACGGCTGATGAAACACACAGATAACTATGGAGCCGAATCTAAACACCAAAATAAAACGAAACGCAAAATTAGATTTCCAAATACAATGACAAAACTGAGAGATAAATTATTAAAGCTATGCTTAGACGACTGGGAAACGTAGGATATCTTTCATTTATCCCAAGAGCATTATTTTCCTCCCAAACATCCCCCTGAAGAATCCATCTGAGTTGTTGCATCTCTGTACCAAAAACTGCAATTTAACCATTTAGACATCAGAATACTTTGTAGAACAGGCCTCAAGTGTGTCAGGGACTGTTTATGAACATTTTAATAGTTAACCAGGTTACGGGAACATCTGCACACATTCCTTCTGTCTTGCAGTCTGTTCTGCTGTGCTAAAAGGATTGCTGTGTCTGTTATCGTTTGCCGTTTTGTGCCTTTGTCCACTTTAATCCCATAGGGATGAGCCATTAACATCTCCCCTGAGTCGCTACACTGAAGCTAGACTTTTGGTACTGCTGGGGGAAAAAAAAAACAACAAAACAAGAACAGACATGTATTGGCTACAGGGTTTGTAATTTATGAGTCTAGTTGCAGAAATCCATCTTGTATCCTCATTATTTATCCTAAAACAATAATTTTGGCACAAATAAGCCAACTCTTTGAAGCCAAGAAGATGATGAGAGGGAACTACAGTATTAGGTCTTGTAAATTTACTTTGCACCTAAATTGGCAGGCCTTGGCAAAAAGGAAACCATATTTCTTGCTTAAAGTATTCTTCAAGGCATGCTGCAGGGGATACGACAAGCATGTGGAAAAAGAATTTTACTTTTAGATTGATTTTTACTAAATGTGTTTTTATTACGATAACGTATACTAGAACTGTCTGTAAACAGTGTGAGTTGCAGAGTTTTTTTTTTGTTTTTTTTAATGTACAGACTTGTAAGACTTGTTCAGCTCAGCACACATTATGCAACTTGAAAAATTGTACATTACTTGACTCACATCAACCTGTAGGAGGTCAACTTTATAGTTATTCTGCATAATAGAAGAAAGACTGCATGACTTGTTGCTGATTCAAGCTCACAACCAGATATATTCTGACATGGAAGACAATTTCGGACAGAGTAGAAGCCATAGCTACAGTGGAATTGATTCCAATCTTAATTTGTTTAGAATGTGCCCAGTCAAAGTACTTAAATTCAATTTATATTCAATTTAAAACAGCAACTTTTGGGCATTTTGCTGTTCTCAAAAGATGCCAGTCCAGTTTGCCAAAGGTTGGGCTTGCACTGTTTTCAGACTTTTCTTAGTAGAACTCAAAAGTCATATACCGTATTTTTCGGACAATAAGCCGCCACTTTCCCCCCATGTGGCTTATAGTCCGGTACGGCTTTTCTGTGG